CGTAGACGATTGCTTCGCCATTATTGACCTTAATTTAAATTCAGTGGACTCAATACTCCAGAGTCTCAATAACCTACACCCCTCACTCATTTTCACTGTTGAAACTGAAATTGAAAAAAACTTAAATTTCCTGGACCTTTCTATCAAAAATATCTCCGATAGACTGGAGTACGCAATATATAGGAAACCCACTCAAACCGACCACATGATCCCCAACTCCTCAAACCACTGCTCTTCACATAAAATGGCAGCCCTTTACTGTTACCTTAATCGACTGCTCAATATTTCCATGACTCCGGCTAATTTCAACTTAGAGCTGGGAACTATAAAACAAATAGTTGTAAACAACGGTTATAATCATACTCTAGTCGACAGGACTTTGAACAAGATTAGGAACAAGCGTGAAACTGAGCTAGCTTATAGAACACAAAGTACTCCCAGCCACAGATATTTCTCAATCCCTTACATTGGCAACGTCTCGAACAAAGTTGCTAAAACCCTTAATGATAATATCGAAAACCTAAAAGTCACCTTTAAGTCTTCAAATTCTCTGGGCTCTCACCTAGTGAACTCAAAGCCATCTTTACATCACACCACAAAAAGTGGAGTATACAAGCTCAATTGTAATGATTGCAATTGCACTTACATTGGCAAAACTACCCGAGCCCTGAACACTAGAATCAAGGAACACATAAACAGACCAAGTAAGTCAGTCTTCGGACATCACTTACAATTCTCCAAACACAACTTTTCGCCAAATTCGAATAGCAAGATAGTCCATGAAATGAGAAATGGTAACGCCCGTAGAATAGATTTCTTGGAGGACCTAGAATCTGAAGATGAATATCAATAATGACAAAAACCCTATTTTCAATCTCTTCATTTAGAGCAATGAAATTTGGGGCTTCTGTACAGGCTTTTCTAGTTGGGACTCTGGGGTTGGTTATTCCCCGAACTGAAATTTTCCTTTGTGAAAATGTCATTTTGGCGAATGCTTCGCGCGCTGGGTGTTCTTCTGGAGTGCGTTCAAAGACGGCAATGCTAATGCCAAAACCTACTATTCCCCTTCTACCGGCGATGCCAAATCTGGTGTGAATTTGCTGGAACGCCAAATACCGTTTTTCAATAGGCAATCCAAACCACGTGACATTCAATATGGCGTGGCGACCATACATGGACCAAAAAACACTAAACATATCTAGTTTCTGCCCGACTTAGGGCGGGTATTATAAAACTACTTTGAAAGTTAACTTGTGGAATTACATGTAATTCAAAAAGTTAACTTCAAGTTAACTGTCAAAGCAGTTTTATAATACCCACCCTTAACAGTTTACGTAATTAGTTAACAAATATTTTATTGAATAATCAAAATCGAAGCTGCAAACAAACAAAATGATTGAAATATGCATGAAAACACATAATCAAAACTAACTTGCTGGTCGCCACGCCATATTGAATTTGGTGTCATCCAATAAAAACTCGTATAACCATTTCTAGACTCAGTTGAAAGAGCCTCCAAAAGTTACTTTACCGCGGCCGGAACTTGTAAAGCCAACCGTTTTTGGCACGCTGGAGCCGAACTTGAACGCAATATGCCAATTTTGGCTCGGCTTTAGCCGTTTTTGAACGCAGCCCTGGTTTGGTCGTGCGGTAGGCGACTATGCAGGACCGTTGGGGTGCTTCCTACCCATAGCTCGATTGGTCCAACCCTTGAGCTACACTTTTTTTTTTTTTTTTCGCCGATTTTCAAGTGAGAGTCGAGAAAGAGAGGGGAGAAAGGGAAAAGAAGCAAGCCTAAAAGGTTTTTTTAATAAATTTTATTAATTATTTCTCAAAGAAAGCAATTTTCATTGTAATTTTGTCATGTTTTCTGATCAGGAAATCAACTTAGGTCACCCATAGATGGCGCCACAGTAACACACCTTAGTCTGCATCGCTGCCAGTTTGGTACCGTACTGGTTCCGTTATGTCATTTTTATCATTTGTCAAAGTCAATCCATATGCTTTATGTCAACCTATATTGTTTGCATGACAGGGCACATTTTCCAAAAATCAAATTAAAAGAAAATCAGAAAATCAAAAAAACAAAAAATATTAAGAAAACCACGAAAGAATCAGCACTGAAAGATTTTTGGAAAAAGCCTAAATGTATTTTGGAGTTGGTTGTTGTTGAGCGCTCCTGGATGTTAGTTTGTCACCTTCTACTGTGTTGTGTGTTTTTTATTTTATTCATTTGGCATTCTACACCAAAATCATGCCTTTTTTCTGTAACTCTGTCTCAACTATGCGAACCTGACGAGTAAGTCTAGAATAATTTATTTAGATATATAAGTACAAAATGTTTTCAGGACCGACCCTGATGATGGCCCTTCAATATGCCCAAAGCGCTCGGTTGATATTTAATAAAGAAATTTACACCTTTACACTAAATCTGCCTTTTCTTCATTATCAAAATAGTTATAGTCAGTTCCCAATCTTTTCCGAATTCAAGTCATATGGTGGCTGGACACAAAGATCTATCTTTTCAAATTTCATTGAACCTTTCATGTCATTGGCCTAGCTAACCTCAGGCCCAAACTAGATCTTTTAGCTCTATAATAAAAATTCAGTGCATCCAATTCTACATTATGAATCCAATACAATACACACAGCAACAAAAGGTAAAATTGTGCTGTCAACACTAAAGGTACGAGGGGCAATTTTGAAAGGAACTTATACGACCGCCTAGACAAAGTGTTTCAACCCAACTTATGAGCAGCACTAAATTGCTCGATAGACTGTAGACGTGTTATCTCAAGAGTCTCCCAACAAACTTCGATTCCAGAAATACGGACCGACCACCTAAATCCGGAAGAAGAAAAGGATTTGAAGAAACTGTTGGGCTCATCAATCAAGTGCTAATGCTTGTAAAGCCCTCTTATTACCCTTATGTTCATAGGGAAGAGGTTAAAACCAACAAAGATCCCAAAGTCCCAATATTTCTAAACAAAAAATCTCAGATAGACATGGCTCAAAGAGACATCCTGGAAAAAGTCTTTAATGTGTATAAAAGAGACGAATACCATTCAGACTTGAGAACTCTCCAGCAACTTTCCAGAGAGTTATAGATAATGTCGTCAGAGAACTTTGAAGAGAAATATTGCTAGAATCGACCATTATTATCCATAGCAATCTCCAAGATCAACTGACTTAGGCTTTCGCGGCCGTCGTCTGAATGGTTGTTGTTTTTCGGGCTGCTTGGCCGTCGTTCTTTCGAAAAATGTTTTCTCGACGTTTCACCGATTCGAGTGCTTGTCATCTTCAAGATATCTGTTCCCACAAACGACGGAAGGTGAACTGATTCAGTTCACCTTCAACGTGGTGTTTCATGGCGAGCCCCCTCTCAAATGACAAAAAGATAAAGGAAAGAGCCCTCAGTCTCCAGCAGTTCGGTTAGCCCTGACCAAATTACGAACTCAATAGAATCAATTGGGACAGAGTAGGACTGGCAGAAGTCAGAAGAAGAGGAGACGAATGTCTAAAAGACTTGAATCAAATTACGTCCGATTCTATAAAGGTGATGATAATAGCAGTATTGCGTGGAATCCTGACACACAAACGAATGGTCCCATACATACAAATACTTAAGAGCAAATCTGATAGGGTGAGAAACATAACATTGAAAATCAACAAAAATACAACAATCAAAGTCATCCAAAGGACCGCGCAATATTTAAAGGGAAAATTGGTTACGCCGTGATATTTGGATGAAATCTAAATGTCATTGGGGATGACGTAAGCAACATTTTTTACCATGGGTACAACCCTGTGAATAATATGACACGTGAGGCGGCGTTAGCTGTCAAATATTGGAATCTAATATTCAAAAGCACAGTAGCTATGGCAGATTTTGATGAACAAAGAAAGATTTGATAGCTTACACCGCCTCACCTATCATAAACTTATGCAAGGTTGTGCCCATGGTGAAAAATGTTGCTCACGGCATCCCCCAATAACATAAATTAATTTCATCCCAATATCACGGGTGACTAATTTCCATTTATGTTTTGCGGGGTCCTCTACGCAAAAACAACCGACCACGAGGACCAAGAGCTGGAGGAATTTTATGAAGAGGTAACAGGTAACACAGTTTCTGCACGAGAACAAAAGAAAGTACACACTAGTTATAGGAAATTTAAATGCAAAAATAGGCTAAGATGACACCGAGTTATGTTACATTGGCAAAATGCGGTTCTAATTTATGGTTTGGCCAAGTGAATTTGCAAATCGTCTTAGCAGTGAAAAAGCTAAAATAAGTATATAGGTACTATATGTTTACCCTTCGATTTCGTCATTGAACACATTCAAGGGTAGCTTAGGAGTTTGACCTCTTGTCAACACGCTAATGTCCATTTTTAGGAATCCAGTAGGTCCGCTGACCGCATCGGGCTTTGGAGATATTAGACCAGCCCATTTGTGGTAGAATTGCGAATCTAAGAAAAATTATTATTTTTGAATTGCTTCCGGACCTGCAGTCATGTTAGATACTTTTTTGATTCAGAACAGTTTCCACGTCCAGCTTAGTAATGCCCAAAATTTTGCGTCTTCTACAAAAACTTTTCGGTCGTATTACGGTTAGAATTATATTATTTTCCAGAAACTTTTCATGTGTGCACGTGAGCTCAAATGTATAGTACTACAATAAAGAAACAATCCATTAGTGATTAAGATGAGGAAGACAAAATAGTTCTACCTCATTATAAAACGGATTGTCGCTTTTCTTTTGCGCCGGAGTACATTTTCGCTTGTTTCCAACTTTAACAATCACAGCCGAATTCATGTTGTCCCAAATATAGTGTCTTCCTTCGATTATTGTTATTGCTACAATATACGTTTGCTCTTTTTTCGACATTACGTCTCACATTCGACAGAATTTTGACTTTGAAATGTCACATTATATCCACGTGGAACGTTCAGTAGCTCAGTTACAATCTTGGGGTTGAAATAATGAAAGCCAGCACTTAAGTATTTTAATATGTCTATATTTACAAAACAGAATAAGTTAAACCACTTAACTTCTAGAGGACGAACTCTTGCACAAATAATGGAAACATCTTAAAAATCAATATTATTGCACCAAGAATTAAACTAAACAAAAAGGAAACATCCTGTAGGTATTAAAGTAGGTACACTTCTAACTCCTATATTTATTTTTTTTGTGCACACTAATACTAACCTCGGTTTATCACTATGTTAAAAGGAACATTTTGTGGTAAAATTTACAAAAATATAAAGGGTCAGATAATTCAGTAGATATCGTTAAAAGATAAGGCCTGCGAGTTTTGACTGTGCAAATGATGGTGTAGGTCTTCCAAGTTTTGATGGGCTTCCATGATAGAGGAACCTGTAGGTGAACTGTTAGGTGCTGCCTGAATGGGGTTGTTATTGCTGCCTTGACCTTCTTGTCTCATCAGGTTTCTTCGCCATTTGGCGCGGGCGTTTTGGAACCAAACCTAGGCAAAACAAAAAAAAATCAGTTATTTGTGTGGTTTTTCTTCCAGACTACTACTATCATAAAAGTAGATTCGTACCTGTAATACTCGTTTTGATAAGCCGGTTTTCTGAGCTAGTTGCTTCAGGTCCTTGGCGTCCGGATTTTGGTTGATGGCAAAGTAGGTTTTCATTGTTCGCAATTGGTGGTGCTTGAATGATGTGCGCATTCTGGAAATTAAAAGAAATAGGCGTCAAATATAAGTTCTACTATTAAATAGAAGCTCTCTTGAATCTCATTAGAAGACCCAAATTGAATAAATAATGTTTCAGAAAGTGATAAATTAGTGAGTTTCAATCTGGAGAGCTACACTCCATCAGTTCGAAATGCTATGATGACCATTGGTCCATATGGAATTTGGCGGAGACTTCATTCTGACCAGTAAAGTATTGGCGAATGAATCAGAACTTCTACAAAATACCTACTAATTACTAACTAGACAGCAAACAAAAACCGATTTATTCCTGAATAAGTGGGCAATTCAGCCATAGAGAAATTCTGATACAGTATTAATACAGTTAGAAGGGTTGATAAGATTGGATCAAATGCATTCAGATCGTAATATCAGTTGATCCAATCGGTATGAATCAAATAGAGTTATATGCAGTTTTAAAATCACGTCTGAGAGTGGAAACTTACACAGAAAAAACTTGCTTTTCTGGACCGTTTTTTTTTTGTCACGAGAAAAGATGGTTTATCGGAGATGCTACTTCCAACAAAGTTTTCCTCACATCTTCTTCTTGTGTTCGGATCAACCTTGTTTGCTTGTTGTTTGCATACATTTTCACCTCGATCCTCATCTTCATAATAAGTATGGTCGATAAGTTGTGGACTATTCAATCGTAGTTGCTATTTTTCATTCGAAACCCGGAAAACATTCAAAATAAGCTCAATGTTGCTGATGCAATAGGGTACTTGCATGAAAAATTTAATTGATTATTGTTTATTGCTGAAGATCTTAGAGATGAATTTAAACTACAACTTCTGGTAAATCATATAGCTCCTAATGTGTATGCATTGGTGAATGAATGTTCAACATATGCTTTCGCTATATCCATACTAGAGAAAGCTTACATCAAACCTAAAAATAAGGTCTGCTAGACATATATTAGCGACCTGTCAACAACAAGCTTCTGAATCTATAGACCAATATCTACAATCCTTAAACCTTTTAGCTACTGAATGTAATTTTCAAGCTGTTACTGCAGAGGATCATAAGAATGGCTACATCAGGAATGCTTCTATAAAAGGCCTAAGCAACTCCTCTATACGCACTCTTTTGCTTGAAAATACAACCCTTAGTCTCAACGAGGCTCATAATCAAGCTCAATCTTTAGAAATGGCTGAAATTCACTCACAAAGCTTCATACAAAATTCTATCAATGCAACTTCAATTGATTATACTTCAAATTCTAAGTCAGATCATTCGAATCAAATCTTAGCTACTTCTACCAAGAATCTAGCGAAATGTTGGTTTTGTGGAGGATCACGTCATCCTAGATATCTTTGTCATGCTTCAGATGCTACTTGTCAAAAATTTTCCAAAGAAAGGACATTTCGCCAGAGTTTGTAACAGTAGAAAAAAGCATAACTCTAGAACATCGTCAGCTTCCATCGTTACTGCAATTATCGAGACTGCAGCTTCGAAACCAAGACTTGGAAAAGCTACAATTGATGCCAAAATTTGTCGACAACCAGTCAAAGCTCTTATTCCTTCTTGAGCAACTTAAGATTCCACAAATTCCTGCTCAGCAACGAGTGAATATGACGTCAATATCATCGCTCTCTCAAGTTGAAGGAAGCCGTACTGTGTCACTAGGAACAAATACCCGTACATATGAAAACTTGACATTACTGGTTATGAAAAATCTTTGATTAGATATAAGGTATATTGGGACACGATATTCTAAATCATCATTCTAAACTTGAGATGTCATTCAATGGAAATTTGGATACTTTGAAAATATGCGTTTTGATGCAAGCAGATATTACTCCTGCATCTCTATTCACGAATCTCAATAACACTTGCAGACCTATAGCTATTAAATCTAAGAAACAATCACTAGAAGACCTGAAATTTATCGAACAAGAAGTCAGGATAATGCTTTTTGAAGGTATCATTGAAAAGAGTAATTCGCTTTGGAGAGCTCAAGCTTTAGTCACTTCCAGTACAAATCATAAGAGACGAATCAACTATGCCCCGACTATAAACAAATTTACTGAGCTAGACGCATATCCACTTCCAAACAAAGAAGACATTATTTCAAAGTGTCAAGGTACCAAGTTTTCAGCACTATAGATCTAAAGAGTTCAAAAAAGAAGAAATTCGACAAAAAAAACATATCTAAGTTCGCCCAAGGCAAAAAATATAAGAATTACCAAACTAAAATTATTTACATTACACCAGGAATCCCAGGGCATTGTTTGCATTCAAACGTTGTCTGCTTCCTTATTTTGTTCTGCTTGCAGGTTTTGCATTCCTTTCTACACAGTCTTTGGGTTGCAGTGAGCCCTTTCTTTATTTCATTTGTGGTTTTCTCAATTTTCGAAAGGAAATGTTAAGCGTTCCGATTCTTTTAGGAGGACGGACAATTACACCATCATCAGAGTCTAACAGATCTCCGATTACCTCCAGTCGAAAGTCATATAAACGAAGACTATGACCACCAGAATAGTTTTTATGTAGATAGTGTGCTTTTGTCAAACTCATTTGTAGAACATGAATAAAAAGTTTCTTGTACCACTTTACCGTTTTCCTATTGCAAGGATAGTACGACAACAATTGATCCTGGCGATCAATTCCTGACATATAGTGGTTACAGTTTAGAATGGCTTTAGGTTTTTCAGTTTCTTGTCCCCTTCTATTTTTGAAAATTCCAGTTTCATTTCCAAATTCAGTGGTTATATAATAGACGTCGCGTTTGTCCTTCCATTTTCTAATAAGAATTTCATAAGAGAACCTAGATTCGTTTTCTTCTCGTTTCAATTTCGCCTTCAAGACTTCTTGTGGGTTGTGCTTATGGTCACTTCGTAGGGTTCCGGTACAATAGGTGTCATTTTCCAGCAGCCTTTTTAGCCAAGTCAACACTGTTGTAAAATTTGTCGATGTATACCTCGTGTCCTTGACCTAACTTTTTTCAAGTAAGCGCATAACGACTTTGGTTGTATGTCCAGTCCCACCATATTCATCTGATGAACCTTTATACACGCGAAATTTCAGCACCAATCCATCAGGTTCTGTGAGCATATAAACTTTATTCCGTACTTGTGGCGTTTATTTGTATATATTGTATGAGCTGTAAACCATCTCGCCACAGCCGTGCGGAAAAATCGATTTTCCGCACTGATATGCGTGCGGAAAATGAGATTTCCCGCACGGTGCGGTAAAACTTTTACCGCACGCATATCAGTGCGGAAAAAGTTTTTCCGCACGGCTGTCAGTGCGGAAAAAAATTTACCGCACTGATATGTCAAAAAAAAAAAGAAAAAATTTACATTTTTACGCCTGTAGGAAAAATATTGTACCTAACACTTGCGGAAAAATTCATTTTCCGCACTTGTTAGGTAAATAGCTATTTTCTACAACTGTCAAAAAATTATGATGTTTGCACACTGATGACAATTTGCGAAGTGACAATTTTTTTCCCAGGTAGATTTTTTTTAACGTTCCCATGACGCCGTGTGCAAAATGATTCTCCAGTGTGCGAAATGCCTAGTTCGCACACTCAGGTAACAAATACCTGACACCTGACAGGAAACCAAAAATAATTAAAATTCACCTTCCTTTGATTGTAAATCCAATTCAAACTTCGAATGATCGATATTTAAATGGAGTTGTAGAAAAAATATTGTTTGCAACTCGTGCGCGAAATACTTTGTAGCATTTCGCGCACTATAGATACAAAAATAACTATTCCTAGGTAATAGATGCTGTTCATCTTTGTGTTGAAAAAGTCGACCACATATCTTATCTTGCCTAAACGATCGTCAGCTCTAGTTTTGGTAGATGTTAAGTGTAGACACCTCAAGATGAGAAGAGATCTATTTCCTGACATATACTTTCAAAAAATTGGTATATCGAAGCGGGTTTTCCAGTAGTCCAGTAGTCATTTACTCGTGTCCGTTGAATAGTACCTGGTATGGAAGAGCAGACCCATGAAAAATTTTAACTGCTGAACAGTCAGGTGCTTCCAATTTGTGAAACGTGATTTTGTACATGTGCCCTTGCTAAGAAAAACGTGAATAGCATAATCATTTGTCTGGTCTACAACTTGGGATAAAAAAGTGTCGTCAATTATAAGGTTGGAAAAATCTATAGGCCTGCCTCTGCGCGGAACTGGTACTAGAAGAAATTGTTTCAATGTACCTGTTTTCGTCCACTGGTAATTCACTAGCGCATTAGTCGGTGCTGGACCGACACTTACATGCAAAGCCGGAAGATTTCCTAAGGATTGATCATCATCTGATTCAGTTTCGGCTTCTGATTCGGTGATATAATCATCTTCGGACTCTGACAAATATTCGTCGCTTCTGCTGTCTTGTAAACACTGTAAAAGTTGATTATCTGTGAGCTTTTTCTGAGAATTTTCCTTTTTTTTCTGCAGTCCAGATGGTCCAGATTTGGCATTCATGTTTACTGACGAAAAAAAATGAAAAAGCATGTGAAGAACAGCAACATGATAACACGTTCTCGGAGAATGTTTTTACAGGGACGGCGGACCGGCAGCAAACTTTCCTCGTCGATGCCGCCTGGAATACTGGTACACTGCACTGGTACTTGCAAATTAGGCATTGACAACACTGGAAATTCACTTGCGAATTAGTGGGAGCTTGGCTTGGGGGATTGGTCATCATCCTGTACACCTGAACGCCTTTCTGCTTCTAAACACTGTAATAGTTCATTAGCTGTGAGTTTTTTCACACAATGAACCTTTCTTTTCTGCAGTTCACACAAAAAATAAAAAGAACGAAATCAACTTGAACTATACCACAAGCTCGATTTGCTACAATTTTAGGTATGTAAAAATTTTATCGATTAATTTTTGACGTTTGCCGTTATTCTGACTGACTCATCTCTAAATCCTTACCTTTACTACAGCTGTAGAAATAAGGTCTTTCCGAAGAGTTAAATTTCGTCTTCGCCTTTGAGAGATTTCGACCCTATATTCTC